CTGTCTGTCTGTCTTTGATGAGGATAAACCGCTGCGCTCTAGTTTGCAAGGGCAGGTCAGCTGTTAGAGTTCTCTTCTAAAAAGCTCATCTTTATCGCAAACAGACGGCTTAAAAGGTTTGGAGGGAGCAAGAGGAGGACTTTGGTATGTGATTCTTTGTGCATCCAGCCTCATTCCACGGTGTATCTAGTATCGGGGGGGAAATGCAGCATTATTGTGAGTACTATTAACGCAAATGGGTTGCCCTCAGTTACTCTGTATTCTTACTTTAAATGGCTTCATGCTGTTTTTCAGGTAAGATGAACAAACTGTTGCTGGGCTAGCAGTGGCTCCCAGACTCTCGCGGGTATCGGAATCACCCGGAGAGCTTGGTAGAAGAGATGACTAAGCCCCACTCCCAGAGGTTTTGGTTCAGTTTATGGGGTGGGAACTGATCACTTACATTTCCGGCAACTCCCAGAGGATGCTGATTCTGGCTGTAGAAACAGCAGCTTTGAGAATCATGATTGGCAACTTAGGAAATACCTAGACCTTTAATCTGACATTGTGCTCTGACGATGCAGAATATAGGGCCAGATTTCAGCAATTCAGGGTCATGGGAGACAGAGTACCTGGGAGAACTTAAATACAGAGATCATCTACAGCACTCTCGAGACCATTGATGCCAGACTACTGCTTCCCAAACCCGCATCCGAGTTGCTAACAAGCAATATAAAAGCTGCTTCATTTTCCATTCTTAGTTTCCACCCACCGCGGATGACAGATAGTTCTGGCCGTTCTGCCTGCAGGGTGGTTGATGTTGGTCTCCCACGTGCCTCCCGGGGGGCAGGCAGGTGGTCCCACCAGCCAGCATGGCTGAGACACTGTGAGCATGGGGCCCAGCTCTGAGCTGAGTGATGGACGGGCTCCCAGGCCACCATAGTCCTGAGCGTAGCCACAGGCTCCACCCCACATTTATGGTCTCAACCACGCACATCCGCGATTTCAGTAGAATTAAGGAGCAGTTCTACTGTGGGAGGACCTAGGGTCCTTTCACACTGGGAATTGCGCCAGTCCTCAGCCAACTGATGAGTCTTCGGGACAGCACAGGACCCAGGCATCTCTGCTTGGGATTCCTTCTGGCACATTTCTCCACCTGCGGCAGCTGCTCAGCTTTGAATGATTTGCTCTGACCTTTCTGGTGCCGCTCGTCTCAGGATTGCCTGCGGACTGCTCTGTGACAGGCTTCCTGCCACTGACAAACCATGACTGTACTAGATCCCGTAACTGAGTGGAGACAGGATTTACCTCATTAGACCACCTTGCCTGGCTGACTCCATTTTGTATTATTAAAAACAGAGACTTGGACTTTTTTTTTTGTATAAAAAATTTATTGAGATGATGCAATTATAGGCTTTTCTTTAAAAATTATTTGCAACTCACTGGCCCTGAGAAAAGGCATTTTTTTTGTTTTTTTTTCTTTTTTGTTACATTCATTTGATTCAGTCCCTTATAAACCCCACACCTCATAAACAACAAGAGATTAGAAATTAAAAAAAAAAAAGGAAATTCTAGATTCGTCTGGTTGGCAGGTGGTTGCAGTCACAAAGAGAAATCTTCAAGAATGTCCACTTGGCATGTGTGAAAGATTCAGGGAGCTTGTGGTGGTTTAGTGTTGATGCAGATGGAGCCAAAAGAGTATCAGGTTAGGCTTCTGTGGTTTGCAGGCAGGCAGGGACTATTGTCACTCCCCCCTCCCCCCCGCCACGGCTTCTTGGATCACATCCTCCATTCTGGGTTTCAGCTCAGAAGGGGAACAGGTTGAGTGGGTGAAAACGAACTAGCACCGAATGCTTGGGCAAAAAAACTGCCCTTTGTTCTTTGTGTATTTCCCCAATCTTTTCAGCTTCCCGGGTGGGAATGGGTCAAATGGGGGTATGGCCAGGCTGGACCCCAATCCTAATTCTGTCCTTGGCATGCCGTCTGCTCCTGGGACAAGCCACATGATCTCTCTGATACTCAGGTTTCCCTACTGCAAAAGGGAGTTAATGTTTCAAAATTGTATTCAGAACTGGATCCTAGGCAGTCAGAGGTGATGATGGTTACTTAGGCATTTTAGGTACATCTTATAGCCATTTAAGTTTCAGCTAAATCTATATTCTCATTTGGATAAAGTATCAGTGTAAGAAGACAGTGGATCCAGAGGGTTCCAGACATACTGTTGACAGGGGAAAATTCATCAGTCTGTTACTCTTTTCCTGTGGGGACCCACCCCCCATAAAAAAGGATTTGGGACATTGATGCTGCTACCTTAGGCAAGACAGAGTTGCCTTGGTATAAAAACATCTTAGAGATCATGTTACTTCCACATAAGCGGTCACTTTCTTCAGATGGAGAGGAGGCATCCTGGCTATCTCAAGGTGCGGGGCAAAGAAGACGCCAGAGAATTTCAAGATACAATGAGAGTGTCCACCCCGGCCACAGCCGGAGGAAGCTGCTCCCCCTGCCATGGCTTTCTGCGTTTTTGTTTCCCGATTCCTGCTTTTGTGGGTCAGGAACTCCCACGGTGGCAGCAGGGAAAGGCCAGCTACTCATATCATGGATGCCCTTTTAATTTGGTCCCAGGTGAAATTTTTGTCACCTCTAGTGCTTAGGGTTGCAGTGAGAAATTTCATGCTAGGTAGATCCTCCAGGTAGAAGATGAGCTCTCGGAGGGCAAGGATGGCTCCTGATGCTTCTGAATCCTTCGGGGAGTCTAGCAGGTGATCCACCAAACTTTGCTAAATTGAATCTGAAATCTTGTGGGTCTGCAGTGTGTAAGCACTGGATCCCTGGGCCAGCATTGCCCAGGTATTCTCTCAAAGAACCAATGAGAAGAACTTTGGCCATTAAGGGAATCACCAGAAAACCAAAAGTGGTAACATCTAGTTGGGCGATAAAGACTGCGTTTGGAATTAGCACCTTCTATTTCTTCTTCAAGTGGCTGAAGGTGTCATCTTAAGTCTTTTATAGTCTTACAGGATATTGCTTTAAATATGGAAATCCTGGGGAAAAAGGAGAATTTCTCCTTTATGGTTCAACTGTAAGATTCTTTGAACAATCAGAGCCCAAGTCCTTAATACCTGGGTGGATAGAATGAGAAGTTCTAATCTCAGGGAGGAGCCCCATTATGCCTGGGCCTCTGATTTCATAGTCACACAAAGAGCCTCAGTAAAGACCCACTCTCTCTCTCCAGCCCTTGAACTCAGTGGCTTTCACAACACATCAGGCATGTGGCTTAACCTCTGCATTGGAGAGCCAGTATCTGTCATCTTAGAGGCTGGAAAACTATCACCGTGTGCTCTTGAAAGGCATCTGGAGCGTGCTGGGACCCAGCTGGATTTCATCCCCATTCAAGTAGCTTGAGCCCAAACCCTTCCTAATGGGACCCTCCAGCCTCACAGCCAGTCCCCAAGCTCACCGCAAGCCCAACATTCTGGAAGGCAGAGTGAGGGGAGTGTGTGATAGTGGGGGGGGGGGGGCTCCTTCCACATGTCTATCCATCTAAGAGGCAGGAAGCTTCCGGAGTCCTCGAATGGACAGCCAATCTGTTTGTCCCTCTCCCCCCACAGGCTGGTTTCCTTGCCAGTAAGGGAGGGGGGGATTCCTCCTGCCCGTGTGTCTGTAACCCCTGCCTGCCTGATTTAATCAGAAGTGGCTCGAGGGTCTGGCAGCTTCCTCTGGAAGTGCCGCTGACCAGGTACCCACGGACCCTGGGGGACCACAAGATGCTCACTCAGCTGAGGAGAAGAACCGGAGAGAAACGAGGAGGGGGTGCTTTGTAAGGCAGGTCTCATCTTTTCGAGTAAAAAAAGACTGTACTAATGCTGGGCTCCGAGCCTGTGTTAGAAGAGTCAATTTAGGTGGCTAGAAAAGGGAAAAAAAAACTACACTAGCTTTATGAAAATATGTTATCAAAAGTACTAAGAAGTGGCACTTTCCTCATTTTATAAGATATCATTGACCTTATTTTGAGGCGAAAAAGAGCCACAGACGGGTCCATTGTGAAACACAGCTATGAGAGAAGGAAAATGCAATGTATCTGAGGAATTTCCTGTCTGCCCAGGCTCGGCAAACACCGATCCAACTAGGACTGCACACTTGAGGATCCTCCCCTCTCAAAGGCCCTGTGTCCTACGGGGACCAGGACACTTTGAAACAGGCTAGGAATTGAGATAAAAATTAGACGAGGGCATGAACCTGACGGCCAGGTGGCCTCGGGGATGGAGCAGAGAAGACCCCTCCTGGTGCCTGCTTTGGAATAGTAATACATCCCCACTGCAGGAGATTTTTCACCCAGTTTCCAGACCGCCAGGTCTGTGTGGTCTTTCTATATTTTCCACTTTGGAGCACTTTGCAAACTAACTCTTCCACACTTATCTTTTGCTCCATGGAACCACCAAGCCTCGTGGTCCTCACAGCCACGTCAGGGGTGGCCTGCCGGACTAGCACTGCTCTTTCCGGAGGGCGGCGGCCTCTGTGATGGTTTTGGCTTCCCCGCGATGGGTAGCCCAAGGCTGGGTTGTGCTTTTGATTTTCATGGTGCTGGCTCTAAAGCACCCTGACCACTGATTCCGTTTAGGGGCCACCAACTCCCAAGACTCTCCAAGAGGCTGAACTCTTGCTGAAAGAGCCTCTGAAGTTCAACAGCAGACGGGGAGGGAGGGCAAAGGGGAGGCAGGGAAGGAAAGAGAGCCAGAGAGAGAAGAGAGAGCTCTCCTTTTCACTTTATCTTTTTTTAAAAGCATCTTTTTTTTTCTCCCCCCCACCCCAGCCAAGACCCAACAGCAACAGGAGCAAAGCTGATCCACGTGGCAGGATCAAGAGGAACCTGAGCGCTTTAGCACATGTTCTCTCTCGTGACCAGCTCGGCTTCTGCACTTGGTGAGATTTGCAAAAAATATATATATATAATAGATACATATTTCCATAGGAAAACAACCTGGGGTGTCTTCCCCTGTATGAATGATGAAAAATCAAACCGCATGGTCTTAAAAAACAAAAACACCATGAAACTAACAACGCGGGGGGAGGGGGAGGGAGGGAGAGGAATTACAGATGGAGATTCCAAACGAGAAAGAACCAGGACTCGAGTCCCAGGCTGGTGCCCTCGGCCAGAATTCCAGCGCCGCCTTTGCTGAGTGGTTTGTCTAAGGTGCTCCGGGGTCCCTCCTGGTGGGCGAGAGGAGTGTCACTGCCGTTTCCGGGTCTCTTCCCTTCCTCTCCTCAGTCATCCTGGCAGGCAGGGCGCCCTTGGCTGCCGGCCCGCCGAGACAGGGGCTGGTTCCTTCAGCACTCATCTTCTTGGTATATTTGTTCATCCAGCTCCTGGGACTCAAGGTGCTCCAGACGGTCTGTCCGGCCACTCATAATTTCATCCGGGGTCTTCATAAACCTTTGGAAGAGGAAATGGGGGAGTAAAGAGGTTACCATTTGCTAAAGTTGTCTTTGCCTTGAACTTGAAACTAACAAGAGAAGCCCCATTACTCTCACGCAGCTGGACAGCTCCTGAACCTGGTCGCTAATGCTGACTTGGCACAGATCAATGATACTCCTTCCTCTGACTACCTGAAAAATCGTGAAATAACTATGAAAGAGTCTAGGAGGACTGTGAGGAGGCAGCACTGTGGGAGCTGCATCGTGTATTCCCGCGTGACCACACGGGGAACCCTGGGACGGCTCACTTCTCTGCGTTTCTGAAGCTTTTCAGAGGGTTCCGTTTTGCAGAGACCCATGAGAGCTGTGTATCCATTTCCATCCCACGCTGTAAACCCAAGGGGATGGTATTCAAAGCTTGAATTTAACTCGAAGGATACAATTAAACGCTGAATGGAACATCTGGCAAGACAGTGGTGCTTCTGGAAATTGGAAAGGCCAGGATGGGATCTTTCTCGAGGTTATCCCTGATCCACCCCAAATGCTAGCACTTCATGTCCTTTTTTCTGTCTTCCTTTGCAGCTTGATGCGCACAGCAAGCCTCACTGTTGTCTTTGGGTTTGTTTGGAAATGATGTCAGTGCCGTGTTTTGACGTGATTTACGTGGTTCAGAAAGGTACTCTGGGTGCAAACGTTCTACCCTTGTGGTGGGGAGGCCCTTCCCACAGCCTGCACACCGTCCCCTCCCTGTATACTATGCCTTCAACCTGATGACCTGTCTTAGAACATACATTCCCTCTCGTCCCTCCATGTTCAAAATCCCATGATGATCACTTACGAAGTCAAGGATCCACTCTGTGGCCTGCCCATCAGGCCATCTCAACCCAGGAAATGCTTATTTTCCACTATTTACTAGCACGAACCCTCCACTCCAGTCCGGCCAGTCTTTTTTCTTACATACATCACAGCTCACGCCATCCTCCAAACCTTTAGCTTTGCCCTTATCTGGAACCCTCTTTATACTCCTTTCACCAGGTGAGTCCTACTCATCCTTTGAGCTCAGTCTCATCACTGAAGGGCCGAGGAACCGCACCTGTCCTCCCCCAATGCCTGTGTTATCTTGTCGAGTGTCCCTCCCATCAACACGTCACTTGATGACACACTGGGTTTTACATCAAGAAGCCTTCATTTTGTGGCAAGCCTAGCTTTCAACATCCATTTCCTCAAAAGTGACTAATCTTTCCTCAGGAATAGCACTATTCTTGCCTTTTATCTTGTTGAAAATCATTCTTGGAAGCCTAGGAACCTTCTGTCGACGGCTGCTTTTCTTTTCTGCCCGTTCCTGCCGGCCTTTCTGAGCAGTAGACGCTGCAGTGTCCGCAGCTGGCCTTCTGCGTTTATCCTATAGCTGGAACTTCGCCCTCAACATCTGAAGTCACTAACAGTTCGCTCTAGGCCGGGTCCATAGATGTGCTCTATTTGGCCCTCCAAACTAGCCCTCTCTTCTTTTGACTCCTTTTCCGTATTAAGCTGTTGATATTCCGTACCAGGCTTGTCAAGAAACAGGCACTGAAATCCCCTGAGATTTAACACAGAGTTACATAAAACACAATCCTCTACCTTCTAGGAGCTTGTGACCCACTTGTGGGGAGAAGGATTTCACATGTACAACTGTTGAAAATTAGTAAATCATGATGTGGTTTAGGGCCATGGGAACCCAAGAGAGGATGGAAGAAGGTGTCCATGTGTGTTTGGGCAATTGAAGACAGTAGACTTGAGTTAGACCTGGGGTGTGTATCTTAATAAAGCAAAGGGTAACGGGATACACCTTTCTGGCCTAGGGAATCACACTGGTGCTGCAGGGCAGCTGGAAGTGTGTGCTATGAACATGGGAGGCAGGAGAGGGGACCAGAGGCAGGGATTGTTGAACGCATCTAGGTGCCAACCATGAGGTCTAGACATCAGCCTCCCTCGCCAGGGAAACGATAATAATGCTTCTGCGTTTCTTGCATCTTGCAGGTCTCACGAGAGTGCTTGCCATTGGTAGATTCCAACCTGGAAGCTGCTGGTAAGAAATCTTGGGAAATGTGGCTCCCCGCCCCTGCGATACAGAATGGCGCGAGAATGGCGCTGAGGAACCAGCGGACAGTCCAGCACAGCGATGACTTGGCTACAAGAAGAGCCAAACCGTGAGTGTCCAGGTTGGTTGCTTAAAACAAAGGTGACACGACTGACGAGGAACAGGAATTCTGGGGAGTGGATATTTCTAGATGGGGAGAAGGCCTGTCTTGAACGTTTCATGTCTGAGATGCTCATGTGATCTTTAAGTGGGTGTGTCCTATAAGGAGTTCTTGGAAATGAAGATTTGGAGTTTCAGGGGGATTTCAGAGATGCATATAGAGACTGAAGAGCCCAACCATCGAGAGGGTAACTGAAGCCTTGTAATGGGATCAGTTCGTCCAGGGGAAAGGTGTAGCGTGGAAACAGTAGGAGCCCAGGACTGAGTTCAGGGTGAAGGATGAAGAGGAGGCATCAGCAGAGCAGCCAGAGAAAGGAGGGTCCCCCCGCGTGTTTTTTTGTTAAACCTTATTCCATTTTGTCTCCATCTCTTGAACATTGTGTCTGTTTCTTTTGAAGATCTCAGTGGTTTTTACTGCTTCCTAAGTTACCTGACCTGCTGAATGCTAAAGCCCAGTTCCCTTCTTCCAATGCTCACACAATGACGTTTTGTCATTTTCAACCCAAATCCACATCTCCAGCCCCACGTGTAACTTTTCTGCCCCACCTGCCAAAACCCAGAACCTGAGGCTGGAGTTGAAGGTTGGATTTGTCGATCCCACCTTCTCCCAAGCTTCACTGGGTCTCACCACATCAGTCACCACCAGCGTCAGAGGCCTGGTCAACCTCTCCTGATCGTCCTTGAGCTCCCTTCTCCTTCCTCTTCTGTTTCTCCTCCCTTGCACAGAACTGGGAGCCACAGTCTATGTGGTGGGTTAAATGGCTGGAACTCATTAGCTGGGAGGAACTCTGGAAAGAGGAATGTCTAGTGCAGCAGCTTTTGGACTTACAACGCACTGTCATAAATATATTTTACATCATGACTCATCACACACACAGACACACACACAGCCCTGAAACACAATTTGCATGAATCAACAGTCACTCTTAATTCATGTGATACAGTCTGATATTTTCAACTCTATCCTTTCCTATTCAATTCTGTTCTATTTCATTAACCAAAAAAAGAAAAAAAAAAACGCGACTCATTAAATCGATTTCATGATTCACTAACAGGTCCTGACTGCATCTGACAGACACTGGTCCAGGGTTGGCGACCTGGAAGTCTAGGCTGAGCTCCCTGCTTTGCCATTAGTTGTTCTGACTGGTCCTTTAACTGTACTGGATGTAAATGCCAGGTACTACTATTTGATCGTTGCATTATTTTAAAGGCGAGTCGGACAGTGTGTCGGCTTTGCTATAGGACAGACATGAGCGGGGAAGTATTATTTTTGTTTTCCTTGAATTCTAACACACCAGCACCTGGTATCCAACGTGTAGCCATGATGGCTTTGGCAGTCGGATAGGCAGGTAGAGATCTCAGCAGTCCCCCTCCTCCCTCTTACTTAAAGGAAACAGTATCCTCTCAGAAGAAGGAAAGGAGAAAAAGGAAGTGCTACCTGAACAGAAGCCTTTGTCCCGGCTCCTTCCTGATAATGTTTAGTTTGTAGTAGTGGCGCAGGGCTCTGGACATTTTCTCATAGGTCATGTTTGTTCTGTTCTGTTTGTTCAAAGGAGGAAGGGAGAGAGAAAAAAAAAAGCACAAAGACACAATGAAATGAACCTTAGAAAAGGCGCTGGAGGAGCTATTCAAATACAGCAATCCAGCTGCCCCCGTGGCCCCTGGGGAGAGCTACCTGCTGGTCTGCTCCCTTCCAGGGCCACCCCTGTGCTTTGTGACACATGCTGTTGCCGAGATTTCTCCCAAGGGGAGTCCCCCCGGGTCAGAAATGCCGAGCTCCAGCTCGCCCAGCTCGCCCCGCACCAGCCTCCCTGACTTCCTCTCCTGAGGCTGCGCCCTGCGGTGCCCGAGGGGTTTCCTGCAGCCCCCTGCCCCCTGTCTGTCCACCCTACCCCTCCTGACCTGCAGAGAATGTCTTTTTCTTTACTTTTTATTTTTTCAGTGACCTTTCTCAAACTTGTGTTTCTCGTTTGTCATTTTAAGGAAGAGACTTTTTTTGTTTGTTTAAATTCCTGTTGTGGAAGCAAGGATGCAGTGGTTCTGAGCCCCGGGGGCAAGGGCACGCTGCGGGAGTCGCAGGGCGATTTTTCTCCGTGACTCACACGTCGGAGTGTCTGTCAGCGGGGCCTTGGCCATATTTGGTCATGGCCTCTGTTCGGTCCTCTGAGGCTGCAGCCAGGACGGCGCTCAGCCCCGCCCTCCTATTCGGATCATCTGGGCCTTCAAGGTGCCTTCCCGGCTTTGCCCCACATCTACCTGTCTGCGGACAGGCCTGGATCCTGGTTACTCACTTTTTTCAGAAGGAGAAATACAGATTTATCTGTTCAAAATTTTTTTTTGGCAGGGGAACTCTCTGCTCTATTTTATTTTACTGTGGTAAGAACACTGAACATGAGATCTACCCTCTTGAAAAAAATTATTTAATTTTTTTGGGAGGGAGGGAGATAATTAGGTTTATCTCTTTATTTTTAGAGGAGGTCCTGGGGATTGAACCCAGGACCTTGTGCATACTAAGCATGCACTCTTACCACTTGAGCTATACCCTCCCCCTGAGATCTACCCTCTTAATGCTGCTGTTTTATGCACTTAAAATTTGTTTAAGTACAGGGACAGGGCTGGACAGTAGATCTCCAGAACTTCCTCATCTTGTTTAATGGAAGCTTCATGCCTGTTGAGTAGGAACTCCCTATTCCCCCTTCCCCAACCCCTGGCAACACGTCTACTCCTGGATTCAAGGAATTTGCCTGTTTTAGATCTAACCTCATGTAAGTGCAATCAGGCAGTGCTGGTCTTTCTGTGACGGGCCCATTTCACTTAGCATAATGTCCTCAAGGTTCATCCATGTGCCCATGTATTGCAGAATTCCCTTCTTTTTCAAGGCTGAATAATATTCCATTGGGTGTGTGTAACACAGTTTCTTTATCCATGCACCCACCAGTGGATGTTTAGGTTATTTTACCCACTTTTTGCATCTATGCACTTTAACAGTTTTCCTAACTATAAAAGGCTTTCTCTTTTAAAATCGATTCCCCCCTCACAGTGTGGAAAATTGTGAGACAGTCATACTTCTTTGCACTGTTTGCTTTTAAAGGAGATGTTTTAAAGTAACAAGTATTTTCTGTGTAGAATGGGGCTGTTGCGACCATGCGAGGGTCTAACCGAGCAGAACAGAAGTGACACTTCCCAAGGCCCCCTTGTGGGTCAGAGGCCCACAGTGCTTCCCTCATACCCAGTCCTCGGCGTGGGCAGCAGGGCCAGGCCAAGGGCCGGGACTGATGGTTGCTCGTGATGAGGCCTAGCAGACGGGGCTGTTCTGAGCTAACTGGCACCTGGCACACGGAACAAATGGAAAAGGGGCATCTTTAATTACTTCCTCCCCTTTGCAACTGTAATTGTTTGCCCAGCAAGGAATACACTAGATAATTATGGGCAGACTTAGGAAGCAGAAGACAAGACAATTGTCCTCCAACCCAGGGAGGAAGACTGGACCCTGGCCCTAGTTTACAGAACAAACATCTGACACCCTTTTACCTTATGGTTTCCCCACAGTCGAGCCAGTCCGTTGGGATCCACTATCCGGAATATTTTGGATTCTTTGTCCTCCCATCGGATGAAGTTTTCGTACCGGCTGTCAGAAAGCAACTGATAGACGTAATCCCACAGCAGCCTACAGTCTACAGGGGAAGAAGGGAGGAGAACACCGTTGACAAAGTTTCTTGTTCAGGCAGTAAGAGCAAGAATCGGGAAATAACCGAGTGGCCGCTTTGGCCTACTTAGGATCAACTCTTCAACTTCCTCGTTCCACAGCGAGGAGACCGAGGCCCAGAGGGGCCTGGGAGACGGTGCCGGAGGAGGCCGACCTCTCACCTGTGGAACCTTCGAGAGTAGCCAGGCCCAGCACCTCCTTCCACAGGTGAGCACACAGCAAGCTGGAGGTGGGGAAGTGACTGGTCCACAGTCATGACCGTGGCTTGAGCTTGAGCAGAGCCCACATTGGAGGGGCAGAGAGCAAGCTCTCACTGCCAATGAAGACGTTCTGAAAGAGGGCTGAGGACAGGTTGGCAGGTAAAAGGGCAGAGAGAGTGTCCCTGTGTTCCAGAGAGAGCGGTGGAGTGTCAGTGGTGGGGCTAACAGTGACTTTGGTGCTGGAGTGAGACTGAAAGGTGTGAAGACTGGGTTCAGCTTAAAAATGGCAGAAAAAAGAAGTACGATGCATGAGAAGTTATGGGAAGAGACAAGCCCGTGTGGTTTGGTGATGAGGACCACGGGCACTGTGGCTAATGTGGTTTTTAACAAGAATACAGATATGCTCATTGTAGCTACTCTGGAAGTTTTAAAAACTGTTTTATTGTAATGAAATTTGGGTAGAGAGGAGCTCAGGGCAAAAAATCCCTCTCCATTTGCAGAACTGATGGGGGAATCCTTCGGTTGGGCAACACATCTTTCTCGGTACAGGCCAGGCACCGTGCTGGGCCTTGGGCCTTGGCTCTTGGCTGTGGGTTGGCAAATTCAAAGAGAAGAGACATCCTGCACACCTTGCCCTGTTCTAGTGCTTTCTGGATTCATGCTTCAGATAGCCTTGACAGGTGGATGGGGACAGACGTGAACTTTCCAGGTCTGCTTGATGCACAGCTGGCCTCCAGATTACAGTAAGGGATGCCAGTTCCCAGGTGTTCACAGTTGATCCCGGGAGATTAATAACTGAACACCGTGTGTGTGTTCTGTGCTACACAAGCATTACTTCTAATCCTCACCTAACCCGCCGCATCCTTTCTAATTTTCTGATGCCTGAGTTCACTGGGATTTGAACTCTGGGGCTCTCGCACCACAATATGCCGCCATTCCTTCCTTCCTTAGGTTGGGCGAGGCCTGGCACACCTGGGAGGGGAATGTCCAGTCCCTGTGTGGAATATCAGAGCCAAGACCTTCACCTCCCAGGCAGTGAGACACACCCTCCTTGGGCGTAGATTTATGGGGGAACTAAGTCAGGTCACCTTGGACAAGTTTCTTAAATCTCCTTGAGGTTCCGTTTCCTTGTTGGTGAAAGGGGAATAACAACACTTACTCTTCACGGGATTATCGTGTGAGTGACGATGTGCGTGAAGAGAGTGATGAAAGTTTCTCGCGTGCGGTGTGTCTTCTCCCAGCCCGGCTGCATCTGCCCCACACGACACCCGATGGGGCGGGTGCTGCTGTAAGTCCTGTTCTATGGACGAGGAAGCTGCGGCTTGGAGGGTTGGGCCATTTGCTCCAAGGGCACAGCTCCCGAGTGGCACGTGTTGGACGCTGAAGCCCATGCTCTGCCACCCTTCCTGGTGACATTTCTAGTCTCAGACAAGCTAGTTAACAGGTACATACTTGTAAGAGTTTAGGACTTTCTAGAGCAAAGTTTAACCCTGTTTTGTGTGTCCTTTGTGACATCCAGCTTTCTAGACTCGGAACAGTAGAAGGAACTGGTATAAAATGTGGTGTTTTCCAGGATGTTATTAGTCTTAAGGAACTCCCATGAAACTTAACACGACCATAAATCTTCAGCATCCCTTACTGTATCTTTTCTCCCCACTCCATTATCTGTATCTAGAAATCAATGTGATGTGTGATTTCTTGTATTTTGGAAAAGGACAAGTGGAATTCTCCCTAAACTGTCCTCCTGGGGGTTTGAACCCCACTGATAGAAGCTGGCGGGCCACTTGTGTTACTGCCCCTACCTGGCCCTGCCAGAGGGGGCGCCGAGGAGCAGCGAGAGCCAGGGGACCAGTCCTTGAGCAGGGAAGTACCTTGGGCAGTCAGGGCCACACTGCTGCAGATGGAGAATCATCGAGCTTGGTTTTAAGGCACTTGTTAATGGGCAAAGCCATGGAGTAGGCGGTGTCTTTCTCCCTCTCCGCTGCCCAACGTCTGACATCGTTTTTACCACCGACGGAGAACAGAGAACTGAGCTGTGGTTGAATTGTCCGGTTTTGGTCCTACCATCAACTGGCAGACACATTTTAATTTCCCACCTCTTCCAAGTAGAAAACATCGGACAAAACCAAACAGTATCAACACAGAATGCCAGTCAACCAGGAGGAACAAAAGTGGCCCGTGAACAGCATCTCCGTGTTTCCCGACAGGGTGAGAATCATTCTTTCTGCAAAGAGGTCTGATGACACCTTTGGATGCGTCTGGACTCGGAATGAGATTCTCTAGAGGGTTCATTTTAACACAGTTTGATGATTGGAAAAAAAAAAACACCTTACCTGGCTGTCTTTTGCAGTTTGATAGGAAGAAGTTTTGCCCAATGAAGGCGAGCACTCTAGGGTAGTTCCCGCACCTCTAGGACTTACTAGAGCGAAAACATAAAATGAACCTTCTCCCATCCCCCTCTGCTCAAAGATGTTCACTTCCATGGTTTCTGCTGCATCTCTTTTACTGTCTCATATATTCTGTTTCTCCCAAAACAGTGAAACGCAAACCAGACCATTTCTCCAAGTAAGGCTTAACCAGCGCTGGGGTACCTACCAGGACTGGCTCTTCCAAGGCATCAAACTGAGACCTTGACATCATAAACCATTCACTGAAAAAGACCTGGAAGGTGAGCTGCTGTGTGCTGGTAAGTGAAGGGCAGGGCGTGCCAGAGAACAGGCTTTACCTGTGAGTTGCAAGAACCTTTGTATCTTGCAGACTTTTCCCTTTCATTAAATGTGAAAATAACCCCCAATGAGCTGCAACTGATGATTTTAAATGACATTTCATCCAGCAAAGCCAACTGTAGCTGAGTAATAAAAATGGGTTGACGTTCACGACACACTGAATTACTCAGTCCCCAACAGAGGTAGCACCAGGAATTCTGTGGCAGAAAGCAGTTGTTTCAAGCTCAGAGGATAAGTGGCTTTTCTAACACGACTGATTGTTTTGTTTCTTTAGTTAAAAATTATGCCAGATGATAATAACTGCCTGACCACACTTTTTTTTTTAAAAAAACAACTGAAGTTCAAGCCATGTGAGTTATTTTTGTTTTTAAGATTTTCGTTAAATAAAAGGCAGATCCTTTTTAGTTCCCCCAGATCTTCTGGAGGCTGTTCCCAGGGTCCAGCAGCAGTTTTTAGCTTTGTCAGAATCCAGCCATCTCTGCACAGATACCATGTTCTTTGATCAAAAATAAAAATGCTTAAATTAATACTGTATAATAAAAACCACCAAACTCTGCAAACAAGAGTTCATCCCATTACAAAACACTTGGACATGCATGTGAAAAAAAATTTCTATCACAGTGTTTTCATTACTTTTAGGCGCATTTCTCTTACCCTAAAGTGTCTTCTCTATCAAGGCATGTGGGAATTTTAAACAAATGACCATGATTTGGATTGTCTCTTCCACGAGAGGAAGCTTATCAAAGGGTTTAGCCTGAGTGAAGTGCCATTTTCCAGTTGCACAAAGAGAGTTCTCTCTCTTTCCTGCTGTGTGAGGTACCTTGGGTATCCACAAGTAAAAGGCATTGTGAAAAATCCCTTCCTGTGGTTAGGGATAAATTTTCCCCCTCCCACGCCTGTCTCTTACCAGAGACTCATTGTACAAGCTTATTGAGCAGAGATTGTAAAAAATGGGCAATTCACACATAACCAACATGGTTTCTAGTGGGGGAAAAAAAACCATGCTAGACAAAACTACTGTTAAAAAAAAATGTGGGCAGGTCAGGTTATTGACACAAGAATGTTTAATGACGGTGGTTAATTTAAATTCGGGAAAGCGTGTCTAAGAAAGTAATTTTATGTTGTTTTAACTGCCCAAGTGGAATTTTAAATGAAGGTAGGTAAAACTGGAGTTCTGTGGATAGAATCACCAGCAAGGAGAGGGCTAGTGTCCCTGTTTCATGGCTTTAAATTTATCATGAAAAACTAGTAAGTTTATTTTAGGTTCAGCAACTAAACAGGTAAGTAATACACAAAGTAAGAAGTCGCTACTCTGCTTTATAGCAATGGTGCTACACTAGGGGCAGTCCTGCTCCCCCAGGGAGTATCTGACTCTGTTTGGAGATAGTTTTGATGGGCACAACTCAGGTAGAGGATGCTATGAGCATCTTGTGGGTAAAGACCAGGGAGGTTGCTAAATACCTTACGAGGCAGAAAAGAACCCCCTACAACCAAGAATTACTGGCCTCAAATATCAAGAGCACCAAGCTTGAGAAACCCTGCTTATGGAAAAGCCCGAGGTTTACAACATGCAGGGGGCCACCTGCAGCTCAGTTTTCCTCCTCAATTCTGGACCAGCCGTAACCTAGAAGCAGGAAGCTGATAAACCTGTGTTGAGGCGCAGAGGTGTGTTTGCCGAGGGCAAGTGCCTGTGCTTGGCTGTGGCTCAGGGAACCAGGAGCCAGGTGTGCCTGGCAAGATGGGAGATGGAGAAGCTAAGGCAGAGGAAACGGATCCATGCTTCCCAGCTTCACCGGGGCTGAAGGACCTTAGCTCCAAACACAGCTGGACCTTTTCACCTCGGGTGGCATGAAGTGTGGAGCGAGGCCAGGAGACACTGCAGTCACGCCTTCCAGCTGAGACCAAGCCCCCAGCTGGAACCCAGGAAGGCCCGGCCCCTTCCTGCTCAGGTGTGGAGGCCGCCTGGGAATTTGCATCCAGGGGCTGCTGGGAGGTAAGGATGCTGTTACCGAAATGCACGCCCTTAAACAAACTGGAATTTC